TANATATATATATATATATATATATATATATATATATATATATATATATACATATACATACATATATATCTACATCATATAAAGCAATGGCTGAATATAATGCTAATTTCTGAATATATTCGCCAGTTATCTATGATTATTAATGATGGTCGTACGGGTTCAAAAACTCGTGTCCAAGAGTATTTTAATCCATACACTCTAATGATCTCATTTCATGTAATATTGGCAGTTTGGAATGATAATGATTTCTGCCGATATTTCGAACTGACTTGACAATTTTGATTAACAAGTAATAAATTATGTATAAATATATTTAATGTAAAAAAAATAAGATAAGATAATGTGAAATGAATTGAAACGGAATGGCTCAAGAGCTTTGCTAAGTAATAACAAACAAACTGAATGCAGTCTTCGTGTAGTACTAAGTCTGTCTTGCTGTGACTGATGGCTAATCTGCATTGATTTGAATACAAAATTGAGCAGATTTTCTATACCGTTTTAATGATATATGAAATTTTTTTACTAATACTATTTGATTTTAATAGCTGATGATTTAATATTATCATTATTTTTTTTTTCATTAATTGGGCAATACTTAATAAATATATTAATTATATTATACATAAAAAAATTTTTATTTTTATTTCTGTGATCTTTAACAATAATTTAAACTATAATAATATATATTAATATTTTCAAAATAATATTTTCAAAATACACTTCAAAATAATAAAATGTACATGATATAAAAAATATGTATCTATATGTTAATATAAATTGTTATTAACATTATATATTAAAATTGCATTGTCTAAAAACGGTTTCATTAAAAAAAGTTCACAGCATTGGCAGCTCAAGTTTGTTTGCAATTGTTTAATTTTTTTTTTTTTTTAGAATGTTTTAGATCCTTCAAATAACAAGTTTCACTTGTTGGTAAATTAATATTATAGCAAGAAATGTACTTCTCTTAATAATTAAATATATTATATCTTGTTGCTTACAAGTGGAATACTTGCAATTGAATGGAAAATAATTTTATAAAATTCTAACGAAATAATTTATATGTGATCATTGATAAAATTGTAAACTTACAACTGAATATTTAAAGATCTTGATAGTAATTATTTGAACATAGAAAGATACATAACATAAATAAGAAAAAATTGTTTTCTTTGAAATAAATTTTTTTAAATTGTTTTTTCAGTAGATTTCGTAAAAATATGCTGCAATTGCACAGGATGGAAATCTAGTATCATAATTGGCAGTATTATTGATTAAATTTTATCATTAAATTTAATTATGATAATTAATTTAAACAAAGATCTCTAATTCAAAAATAGAGAATAAAAAAAAATAAATAATCTACTTTTTAATCTAAACAATAATTATATTTCCTAAATAATATACTAGATTTTTTACAACAACCTGCAGAAATGGCATATTTTATAAGTTAAAGGAAATATAAAGAAATATTAGAATTGATAAAATATATTATTTGAAATAGTAGACTAGTTGATGTAAGCTTCCAAATACCATTTGTGTTTTAGTTATAATTTAATTGGTTTTTAGATAGTTTACATTCACTAGTCGAAATATATATTATATATGTATATCTTAATATTCTAATATTTTCTTTTATTTAATTAAATTTAAATTGCGCATCATTATTCGTATAATGAACTATAAATTTAATTAATGGGAAAAAACCAGAAAACTTGAGAACAGTAGTTATATTAACTTATCATTTAATAAAATGTAAGTAACTGTAAATATTTGATTTTTGTAAAACCAGAGAATAAGTAGGAGAGCAGAATTGTATAACAAGTACATCTTTGTAATAATCACTCAGTTGTTTATCCTGCACATAAGCAGATTTTTCAAAGTCTTGTATTTTGATACTGATCAAGGAATAATGTAACATTGGTGAATTTTAGAAAATTATGCAATTTAGTATTGCGCACAAATACTAGAAAATTATCAAAAGAAAATGAAAATTTCCTTTGTACTTCTTTCATCTTCAAAAATATTTTGAAATTCATAAAATGGCGCACATACGAAATTGCGTAAGTACTTCAAAAAGCAAAGAAAAAAAAAATAACAAAAACAAAAAATTAAAGGACATACATAAAACATATTTTCGCTAAATAATGTATGAAGTGTTTAAGTTCTGACTTATCAAATGAAGTTAACAAAGCAAACATAAAAAAAAATTATTTTTTCTGTACAACTGACTATAACAAAGAAGAAATAATATTTTCGAATTCGTCTGTAACGTAAAACGAAACGTAGCAAACCATAGCAAAGAAAAATGGAAACGAAAAAAATGATGATATCTAACACGTAATAATGATTCACAAAACACGTAGCTTAAAACTTGTAAAACTGTATTTTAAATGTGAAAACATTCACTGCCAAATTGTGATAAACAAATCCCACCTTTAAACCGGAGCGTTTTCTTAACTTCTGATCGCATTGACCAATTATTTCCTCCTAAATAGTTACCGTGAATTCTGCACATTCTGATATAATAGTCATCTATATTTTTTCTTAATGTTTAAGATATAATAATATCGAAGAGAATATAGCGTTGACCAATGCAGCTAGAATCGAAGGAAACCGCTCCCTATTTTAAGTAGCATCGTAACAATAAAAGAAAAAATAAATAAATAAAAAAGGAAGAAAGAAAAAAGATCGTATTGATATTTTTAAACGGGCACGTTTTACTGTTTAAAAAGTACCATCTGGACCGCCTATAGCGCTCTTCTATAATATTGTATGTTTACGTGTACAGTGCCTTTATATCTGAAAAAGAGACAAAATGAAAAAAAAAAAAAGAAAGAATGGAAAAGAACATTTTAAAAGAAAGAAAAATACCTTTGCTTTCGAGAAATCAATGTAGATACATACACAAAACTTCCCTCACTTTAGACACAGGAATATATAGAATTTTAAAAAATAGAGAAAATATATGGGAAACGTAAGTTTTTTTTAATCTTTCGCATTAATTTCTCGAAAAGTCAAGGCATGCGGTCCCTCCTACGTGTCGCAAACATTCTTCTAATTAGGTTCAGATTGTAATGATTACCTAATTATAATTAATGTAATTAGATTATTATTATGAAGTATGTTGTAAAAGTGTACAGTTTGGATCGGGTGATCCCTTTATGCGGGAGATCATGCTGTAGCTAGCCTTATTATTATCATTACAACTATTATTATCATGAATTATTATTACAGTTAATTAAAATATATTGTGTTTACCGTAATAATGTAATATAGAGTTACACAGAGCTCGACTGTGCTGTACATTATGATTATCAACACAAACGCTGCTGCCCTGCAATTATTATTAAATTGACTTTTCCCAAAAATACTATTTGCCGCACGATATTTCTTATTTCCTTAAGACATATCAATTTAAAATTGAATCAAATTCAACAACAAATTCAGGAAATTCTTTGTTCCATTATATATTAACAAAAATTATTTAATTAATTATTTTAGCCTTTTTAATTATTAATTTATTTATTTTTATCCCAACGAATGTGTCATATTAAAATTCAATTAATCTTTGATTATATACTTTTGTTATATATATATTTTCCAATTTTATTATTAATTTTCTCTGCATATGTCAAATTATTATTTACAGATATTAGACTCTAATTATTATAAATAAAGAAAAGAAAATATAAAGGAAAAATGGAAAATTAAAAATTTATAAGAATTCATTAATAAACATAAAATATTCATTCAACATAAAATTGATTCGTAAGATTATCGATTAATTTTATAACCAAATTTATTTTCAACTATACAACAATTTCAATTATTTGAAAACAAAAAATTTCATATTATTTTATGTTTAAAAAAAATAAATTTTTTTTCGAAGAAGATTTATTTTAACTTAAGTATAAATAGATATATAATAAAAAGTACAATGAATTAAAAACACAACTATCAATAGAAAGTCGATAAATCATAACTTCAAGGATACTTCAAAAATACTCATATTTCCTTGAATTATTTTAAATTAATTTTATAATTAAAGCTTTATTTAATGATTTCATTAAAAAATTTTAGTCTTAAAAATTAAATTATAAAATTTAAATGAACTTTACTAAAGCTATTAATAAATAGAAAATAAATGACTCTGAAGTATACTTGAAACTTTCTATTAATGAATTTATTTGTAAGTACTTTGTATTTTTTAAGGATGTCTTTTTTTATTTAATTCAAAATACTTTTTGAAATATATCCATTTATAAAATAAAATGTCACTGTATTTTATAATTCTCTATAAATAATAATTATCATATTTTTACATTTATTAAAATATTCTTAAATAATAGAATAAAGCAAAAATTATTCTATTTCTATATAATTGCTAAGAGAAAAAAAGTGAGTTGAAGAATTTAACAATAATAGAGATACAAAATGGAATTAATTTACATTCATTTAATAATAAATATTACCAGAACATATTTATTAATATATTATCCAAATTTCCAAAAAAGAAAATGTATTGAGTAATATGTTAACTATAAATGTCCATTGTTTTTTTTAAATTTTAATACTGGAAGAATCATCTAAAATAGAATATCTAATGATTCTTATATTAAGATGGAGAAAAAATATTTTAAGCAATAATATACTAGCAATAAATTACATTCGAATGAAATATCACATTATGTTTTTTCGAATAAACTTTTCTGAGAAATATTCAAAATGCACAATCTTTTTTGTTTATCAATAAACAAGTTTTTATAACACGAAAAAAAATTATTAAAAGTAGATTTAAATAAATGATTTGACATTACAATTTAAAATAATTTTCCTGAGCAGTAGAATAATAATGTAATAGTAATAAAATAATAACAATAGTTATTAATAATATCAAAATAACGAGAAAATATAAATATGAATTCATTTAAATCTTTTCTCCAATGAATAATTTTTAAAAAATTTTTTATCTTTAAAAATAAAGAAATCGTTCATTTTATCTTACCTTATATATTAACTGCTAATTTAAAGGTGAATCATTTGTACATATATAACTAGGCACCAACGAATCAAAAAAAAATTTTTGACATAAATATGATACTTATGTCCTTCTAAGTGCCCGCATTTGCTTACGACGTGCTTGAACGACACCATAAACAACTGCTGCAAGACTTCGGCACCTTGCAGTGTGCTTAGTCGAACTTTCTTGTTGCAAAGTCCCTTTGCCCAATACGAAATATGTTTCCATTGTTCCTTTTCCTTTAACTTCGATAAGTCCTCTCTTCTGTGTCTGATATCCTCTCGATTCCAAAAACTATTTAAATATTATAAATCAACAAATATGTAATTTGCATATATAACAATTAATCATTTTTTTTAATTTGTATTCTTTAATACTAATAATAATTTTGTATTCTTTAATTACTCTAGCAATATCCTGTGGAACTTGTATTTTTCCCATAACACCTGTAGAATCCATACGGGAAGCCAAGTTTACCGTGTTACCCCAAATATCGAATACAGGTTTCCGAGCACCGATTACACCGCCTACTAATGGACCACAGCTTATACCTACTCTTAAATCAAAATTATTGAACGAGTGTATGTTTACGTCTTCAAGACGGAGTCGCATGGCTACTGCATAATCTACTAATCTACATAAATGCTCCATATCATCTTTATTTTTATCCTAAGAAAAAATATTAAAATTAAAAATTGATCAAAGTTTATTATTGTATTACATAGAATATAAAAAAAATTATATATCATTTATAATTACATTTTGACAAGGATTGAGACCAGATGCTGCCATATAAGTAGCTCCGACTGTTTTTATCTTTTCAATGCAATGAAACCGATTTTCGTCCAGGAGTTCGTCAAAATCAGCTAAAAATAATTAAAATATATATTTATTATTGAATAAATTATATTAATAATAACAAACAAAAAATTTTTAAATGTTCAGAACAACAACAAAATTTTTTTCACTTCAATTATAAATATGTTACCAATAATTTCATTCAATAAGCGTATACACTCCATTCCTTTATTAACATCTTCTGAATAAAATTCTGTAAAATTTGGCACACTAGCGAACATCACTCCAACTTTATCACGTGATTGAGAATATAACTCCTATAAATGTATTAAAAAAAAATTATAATACTCATTAAATTAACAAACTCGTTAAGAAGTTGAAAATGTAAAATTATACCTCAGGTGCTCTGTCTTGGGTTAAAAAATGATGAGCTACGTGATCTGGTAATATATTTTTCAATAGTTGCATATTATTGTGCCGTGATTCAATCATGTCACTTAACTCTCTTTCAGCTTGCTGTTTCCAAAGGAAATCTAATCTAGATGTTACTTCTACTAATCTACCATGGTATGTAACCATCACCAAGAATACTAATAGAAACGTAAGCATTTGTGCCGAAAGAGGTATTGACATCCTAAAAATACAAATAATCATTATATATCATTATTTTATCATTATTTTGAAGAATTTTAAGAAGTTTTTAATATTAAATATAAAAAATATATTTTTTCAATATTTTATTATTTTAATTTTTCTTGAATTATGCTGTGGAAAAATTTAAATTTCATTAATGCCAAATATTAAACATGACTTACGAATCCTCTTCATTAGGAATCGTAAAGAAATCCTTGCAAACTACGAGAATCAATACGGCGTAAACGGACACGATGATCGTAGCCAATGCCGTCTTTACTAAATAATATAATTTTAATGCAGAAGCTAATGCAATCAAACATAAGATCCATGTGAATACAATGTATTCCGGTCTAACGCAAGTCCCCAAAACGATGTCCTCGTCATAGTCCAGCGAATACAAAGGTTCCACTTGAGGTTTTGTTTCCGATGTCGACGGGATTCTTCCCGAGATGATGTCTTCATCCCTACGGTTTTAAAAAAATCTGCTATAATTTCTTCCAAACATGAGTCTATGGTATTGTTCGTATCTATAAAACCTGAAGAACTCTTTTCTTCTTTGACCTTTCGCCAGACTAGCCCTGGCTTTGATAAGATTCGTTTGTAATTCTTCATCATTAGAATCATGGGATACAGTTTGATTTTCTTTAGAAGAAATGTCCTTTTGTTCTTCTGAAGATTCATCGCGAAGAGCAGCTTCCAGAAATGTCAAGATAAATTGATCAAGACCAACAGTCGGCGCTACCAATCGTTCTGGTTGTAACGTTGGATTCATTAATGGTTGCTGTTGGAGTTCCAGAGCTTCGGGATATTGTCGAATCGACATTGGACATACTAAAACACTGACGATCGATGTCAAAGCCATCAAACTAATCACGCTGCATATGAAGATTGTTCGGTGCTGCTTGTTGTGAACTAACATCGAAGAAGCGTGTTGTAAATATGTAGGCAAAGTTTTGAATTCTTCCGCCATCACTAGAATGGACGATGCTACTAAAATGAGCGTCGTCAACAGTAACGAAGCCAAAAGAATAATGCAACTGTATGAGAAAAGTAATATAAATTCGAATTAATATGTTCTTAGTTTCTTGATAAATATCATAATTTGTAATATTTAATTCTCAAAATATATTTCAAAGATTAGAAAATTATTTTTAAAGATAATCATTATATAAAACAATGATAATTAAAATAGAATTTTTAAAAATATAGTTACTTACTCTGGCAATATTACTGCTTGACAAATTGCAATAAACAGCCACACGACAAAACAACAAATCATATTGGATTTAAACATATCCTCGCGCAATTGACCAAACTATAAATATACAAAATAGAAAATATTAATATTGTAAAAAACATTAAAATTTAATCAAATTTAATTAAATTGATTATTAACACTGAATTTACTTTTGATTCTAAACTTTCGTCATTGTAACGTAAAGTCCAAGCATTTATATTCGCCGATCTCATGCGTTTATTACTCGCGGTTTCAAGACCTGCAGTCTTCAATTTTTCAACGGATGCAGCAGACACAGCTTTATTACTCTTCGCAGAACCATTTTCTTCCTCGAGGTATTCCGATTCTAAATTGCTAACCGATGTCGCAGTATTTAACTGTAAAAATAACGCATCATTAAATTCTCAAAATTTTTCTTTTACAGTTTTAATAACTATTAAATACGAACGTTTTCAAATGGTATTTCTGGTGTCCAATCTACGCCAATATCATCTTCAGTAGAAGAATTTGGAGCACTACTATTCGTAGCTAATGGATTGTTCAATTTGAAGCTCTTTTTACCTTTATTCACATCATCTTCAGACCATATTTTTGGTCGTGAAGAATATCGTCGTCTTGATCTTAAAGGTTCCACCTGTTTAATTAAATACGTAACTACATTCCTTTCTTTTAAATAATTGTCTCTTTCGGTTCCATTTCCCGGCTCCACTTCATATACGTCATTCAAACAATTCAAAGTATCCTCTGATATATGTACTCTTCTGAAATATATATATATATATTTTAATATATTTATTTTTTTAACATTTTTGCCAAATTTGAATAAAAAAAGAAATATAAGTGTAAAATATATTTATAATTTTGTGAAACATGATAAATTTTACCCGGGTATTCCTCCACTTTCAAGATGATTAGCCAGTGTTACATCATAAGACCAAACATCAAATTGCCATTTTCGAAGACCAAGTACACCACATAATACTGAGCCACTATGAATCCCTATTCTCATATTTAAATCAACCTAAATGAAACCAATTTTTTTTATATTATATATTTATATAATATTATATTTTTTTATTTTTCTAATATCATATATATTATATATTATTATTAAGAAATTATAATTTCTAATTATAATATTTAATTAATTTTAATGGAGAATATTAAAATTATATGCAATTAAAATTATTCTTTTAACAAATAATAACTTACTGCAAATTTTAAATTGAATGGAAGATTGCTATAAATGAATTTTTCGTTTAAACAAAATTACTACAATAACTATTAGCAATATATTTTGAATATTTAAAATTATACAAAATAATAGAAAATTTAAATACCTTTGTTGTATACCGCACATCTCTTATTGCTTTAATCATATGCAAACCCATTTCCACACAACAATGAGCATGATCACTTCTGGCAATTGGTAATCCACATATACAATAATAACAATCTCCAAGCAACTTAATACGTAAACAATGATTTTCTGCGGAAAGCTTGTCGAAACGAGCGAATAAATCATTTAATACTTTGACAAGTTCTTGAGCGCTACACTGGCTGGCCAAAGCTTTATAGTAAAAATTAATGCCACAGATTAAATAGTTCAATCAAGAAATTCATAAAAGTACTTCAAAATTGCAATTAGTAACATAAAATTTGTTTAAAAATTAATATGAAATAAAAACTAATAATAATACTAATAATAATTAATATAATTATTTAAAATAAATTATATCCTTTATATCAATAACATAATTAAAATTTTTACCATTTTGATATCTTCGAAGCATAGAGATAAAAATATATTTTAAAAAATATTAATACGTATTATATAAATTATGTGAAAAATTAAAAATTACAAAAAGAACTAATATTAATATAGAAAATAATAGATTCTTAAACAATTACATATTATTTATGAATTTATTTAAGAATTTTAATATTATATATATTTAAAAAATAGTGAAATTAGTGCAATTTACTATCATAAATGAATAATTACATACCAGTGAAACCTTTGATATCAGCAAAAAGTATGCTAACATTTTCGTAGCGATGGATATATATTCTATGAAATTGATTAGGTGTGAAAGAGATCGTTCCACCTCGAGCAGTTTCACGAGCAATATCACGGATCATTTCTTTAGCCACGAAATCTGGCAAAACTATAAAAAAATTAATCAATTATAAAATTATATTAAAAAACATTATAGAAAATCATAGATTGTTATAATCAAAATGGCATGATATTAATTAATCATCATTTCATTATTCTTCCATATCCAAGCAAGAGTAACGGAACTGCTTATTTTGTTTTATTCCATTATACGTTACTTATACTTCCTAAATAAATAATCGTCGAAAAATCGATAATACATAAAAGCAAAATACTGCTAGGCTATCGGTAAAACATATCTGGCGCAATCGGGTGAAAGTGTCTAGTGACCCTTTTTGACACTCGGCTGAGCAAGTTACACGCGCTGACGAACCCCATGCTTGCGGCACAACCCCATGCGTTTTTATAGACTATGTTCGACATGTTCAACATATATATAAATATACTTGAATACGTATCGGAATATTTGCATCAATACACAGACCATGTGTAACACATTTATACTATATACATGTATCGTCTCTAATATTTATCCAATTAATTGTGCAAATAATTGTAAAATAACAAGTTTAATTTAAATAATGTTCTTTCAACAAATATCATATCATTTAATATAATAAATATTTTTATATATTAATATTCTAAAATTCGTGAAAAATAATATTTTCTATTGTAAATTGCACGTTAAATAATTGCTAAAAAATTTAAAAGAATTTAAAATTAAATTGAAAAAGAATATCATTAATAAAAAGTTTGGCTAACGAATTTGAAATATGTCTCACCAGAAAGAAGTAACTTTTCTTGTCGATTGTTCTCATTTTGAGTCCGTTGTCGGGTTTCCATAGATCTGTGTGTTTCAAGAAAAGCCTGTCTTTGTCCTCTGTCTGTCAAATATTTAGTGTACATGCCAGCTAAATTCATTGCAAGATAAAGAAGGACGTTGGTTGTTAGCATACGAACTATGCACGTAATATCATGCAGCTGCAATTGCAAAATTAAACATATGATAACTTATACTTAAAGAAAGCTGCGAAATCAAAAAGTATTGCACTAAGAAAAAACAAAGATTGAGAATCAAGAAATAGAAGAATTAATTTGGAAAAATAAATCAGAATATAAATCAAGGATTCTTACATATGTTGGATCCCGTAATAAAGTTATTCCCGCCATTACCATGTGAGTTAAAGCTGTCCCATAACCGGCAAGGACACACCATCTCAAAGGTAATGGCAACATGGCGTATGGCGCGTATACGACAAACAAAATATACCACATAAGACGTTGTTGACTAGAGAAATCTAAACCAGCTCCTATAAAACCTGCAATTAATGTAAAGACATCCACACATAAAGTAAAATCATTCTCAATTCGAAATTCTCATTTGATCAAAGCGTAATGATTGTTAATCTTAAATAATGGTAGAGGATCGCCAATCAATAGTAACCCATGCCTAGATATAAGTTTATTCCACCGCGTCTCTCTCTCTACGGTTCGCTGAACATTCAAGCAATTCGCTGGACCGCCAACGCACGAGCCAGTGGAGCAAAACTCTATTTGGTAAACGAAGATACAATCTTCCCAAGAGCATGTATATGTATCTATATGAATATATATGTATTAGAACATTGCAATACAATGCTATACGTGCATCGACTTTTATGTTTAATTAAACGAAAAAAATCCTTCATTCGCAAAAAAAAAAAAAAAGAAAATATAATTAAAAGTTACATGAAATATATATCTTTATGTCATCACCTTGTGAATTGATCAGTAACCAAGTGAATATGGAAGCCCAATATAAATAATTATTGGAGAAACACCGCCACCAGCCAAGAATGCAAACAATCAAGTTTGCCGCCATACAGCAGGATGCCCAGGATAAAGACTCGACTAAACCACTACTATTTTTGTCCCTTTTCCATAACCATATCGCCATAAGAATGATCTGAAATCATCATTACATGATATGAAATAGAAAATAAGAAACAAAATTCAGAATATATTTCATAGGATCGAAATAATAATCATTTAAGAATTAGTTTACCTTTAGACTAAGATCAACGATATTTAACATGATCAATGATTTCTGCCGTTGACGATTTGAGTAATGCAGATATGATGTCTCTAGTTGTTTGCTATGGAAACTATTTGACAGCGATGGACAAAATATCCCTTTGTAAAGCACGCCTTTCTTGAAAACATCTGAAAATATCCAGTCCTATTTATAGTCGAAGGTTGTAATATATAGTATAAATTAATAATAATGTAAGTGGAATGTTAAATAATTTATCAGATGGATAAGATATAATATAAAATATTAAAAATAATTAATCGAATACTAATGAATCAATATCATTATTATAAATATATATTCCGTGATTGTAAAAAGAAGTGACAAATATATTTATAATCTCCAATCAATTAAAATTTTATTAGTAATAAAAAAGAAATTCAAAGATATTATTCGATAAAAAACAATAATTGATTTTGTTAGAAATTTATAAGTTAGAATAATAGCACTATTTTTTAAAATATTTAATTTAATAAATAAACATTTTTTACATTTTCAAGAATTTTTATATTTATGCAAAACAATTATTGTAACGCAGTTTTTTTTACTTTTAATCTTTTAATTTTTTGATATTTTTTTTTTGTCAAAGAATATTTAATAATTTATAGAAAAATTTCTGAAGAATTTATGAAGAAATTATTAAATACATATAAGCAAACCTCGTTGCGCTTGAGATTCAGTATCGACTGGCTCCTCAGCAAGAACTACGTCCGGGTCGGTAGGAATATCCGCATCTTCGATTGGGTCGCTTGTTTCGTTGATGTCTGGAACTTCCGGATCGTTGTTGGACTTCCGGTCTTCCCATGCCGCCAATCCTTCCCTCCCCAGCCGCTCGGAAGTTAGCTTCTTCACAGCCTTGATCCATAATTGTTTCCTCGGGGAAATACTCAACCTATCGACGTTAAAAAGTATCACGAATTAATTTTCTAGATAAACAATATTTTCAAAAACATTTAAAACATTTAAGAAATTGATACACGAATACATACTAAATACATATTAAGTATGTATATACTTTTGTATTGCACAAAGCAATTAGAAGATCGTGTATTTTTTGGGAGTTGATATTTTTAAAAAATATTTTAAATTTTATTTTTAATTATAAAATATTTGACATATTAATATTTTTATCATTAAAATTATTAAAATGAACAGTGTCTTGGAAGGTCTTGGTGCGAGATTTCAAAAATTTATAACACATATCAAAAAAATTTACTATAATAATAAAATTTATTATAAATATAAAAATTCAAATATCATTAATATAGATTAACATAATATTTTATTATATTTCACATAACAATAATATTATAATTAACTTATTCCATAATGGAAGTTATATGTTAATTTAATTTATTTATATTAATATATATTTATAATTCTCTGTAAGAACTGATTGTAAATTTAAAATAAAAAAAATATCATTAGGAAATATCATTTTGGAGTTATAAAATCTTTTCAAATTTAAGTATAGGAGAATTAGTAACATTAACAGCATAAAAAATTTTATCAAGTTCACTTCTATCTGCATCTTATCGAATAAGTCGTTAAATCAAACAAAGTAATATAATAATGCGCTTTAACATTACGTTGTACTGATGTCATTCAACAGCAGTAACAAAAAAATATATAAATATATTATTTTGTTATTTCATTATATTATATTTAATATAATATAATAAACGTATGCAATTAATTATTTTCATATATTGCGAAATGACCAATTCTTTTGATAAAAATATTATATATACAATATTTATACAAATTTGTATTACATTTTTATTATAAATTATTACATATAATTTATAATTTTCTTAAAGTTTCTCACCAACTTTCTGAAACACATTACATATAAAAATTTATAATAAAAAAATAAATTGATTATATAAAAAAAATAATTAATATAAAAATGATATTTTATGTTATAATTATTAATATCCAAAATTTAACTAATAGAATAAAAATTTCTATTTGCATATTTTACAAAATTTAAATATAAATATAAAAATTTGTAAATATGAATTTTTCATAATTTATGAACTATTGGATAATTCACAAAGTGTTCACAATCCCCTAATTATTTTGAGCCTTATATAAATAAAATAGTTGCAAAACACTTTTATGGGTCACGATAAGTAGGTAACAACTTTTATTGTTAAAAATTTTTAATATAATCATCAATATTATATTCAATACTTTTTAAATTATATAATATTATTTGTATATTGATAAATAATTCTAGTAATTTTTTCTAGGAATTCTATTTTATAAAACCATTTTCACGAAATGAAACAATAAGTTCACTGTTAATGATTAGTAAAAAAAAATTCATTTATATTTTTGAAATAAATTAAATCTCTTCTCTATTTTATTTGAAATAATTCTATATTTCTCCAATATTTTTCAAGTAAAAAACAATTATTTTTAATTATATTTATGTAAAATGTGCAATTAATATTAGATATCCTTTATGTGTTTTATATATATATATATAATAGAATTTCGTTCATGCATCTTTAAAATATAAAAAGAACAACATATATAAAATAAAAAATAGTATTACAATAAATTTAAAAAACCATAAGAAATTATGTAATCTTTTTTTATAAATAAAAAAATTGTTAATTATCTTCGATTTCTTAATTAAAATCTTCAATTCTTTATTAAAATATTTGATTTTGTAAAATTCTTGATGAAACTTAAAATGTTTTAAAATCATAATGCAATATATTAAACAAAAAAAATATACATAATAGAATATGATAATTCAATTATTTTCGTTTATAAATAAGAATGGAAAAATTCTTAAATACGATTTTTGCACAAAAAATTCTATGAAAACATATTTAGACTAACATTCACACGTTGAAAAACGTTTTATGAACTTGAAAAATTGTGTTCGCGCAAAATACATATAGACGATACATCATAATTAGTGCACACATATTTTTAAATGCGCAGCACTATCGATCCAGACATATTTCTTGCACGTATATCGTGATCTATCATCTCAGATATTATTAAAGCCATTAAAGCATACAAATAAACGAAGAAAAAAAAAGAAAAAAGAAAACAGAGCATAGTGTCCATTGTGAACAGTATCAAGTGTGCATATGCACGTCGAGAGGTGTGTTACACTATTTGGAAGAACACAAAAAAATCTCGTTCGATACACCTGCAAAATATGAAACTTACCGAACAGTGTTATTGTGTTAATGATGTGTCGCATTAAACAAAGAAACAATTGAGAGTCTTCTTTGCGTGATACAATTATGTACCTAGTATCATTTTTTTTCATCGCGTGTTTAAAAAAAATAAAAGGAAAGTGATGAAAAAAGTAAATACTTACTCATTGATGCCCGCGACATCACTGTCCAGCATCATGCTCCAGGTCTGTTCTGTAATCATTATCCCCCGGATGATCCGCGAAACGAACAACTGCTCACGTTGTGATTGTCAGCTGTGCAATTGCCTTAGTATCCGGCATTTTCACACACCTTAAACCAGAACTTGTTAAAAAAGAAAGCCAATTTCTCTAATGACCCGCCCTGGTTCAAACTTTTTCTCTTTACCGCACCAACAGAACAATTTTTATTTTATCAAATCGCAAACATATATCAGGAAGTTTTATCTTTGACTTGCTTGTTTGATTTGATTTCTTTTTTTTCTTTTAATAATTAAAATGCTGGTACGAAGTTATTTTAGAGTTGTGATCTTTCTTTTACATTCGAACAAGTCAAGTTCGATCGCGCCAACAGATTTCCGGAAAACATATCCGGAAACAAAAAATATCCGTCCATACTATGCACAACCAAAATTTCATTTTCTTATAGTTTCATTTAGTATTTTCATCCTAATATTTTTATTGAATATATCTTTTATCCTAATCAAATATTATACAGTACTGCAATACTCAAGTGTTTTCTCTTCTATTTCGCAATATCGTGGAACATGTTATTATTATTATTATTGTTATTCTTATTAAATTAAATAATTATTCATATAAAAATTTTCTAAAAAAAAATATAATAATACTATATAAAGATATTATAATAATAGATCCTTTTCGGTCTTCGTGAAAAATGGTTGCATTATAACATCACAGTAATGGAACTTATTTATTATTATTTTACGTTTAATGAATAGATATCTCAAAAATTATTAAAAAAAACATTTTTAAAATAATAAAATTCATCAAGTTGAAATAAATCAACTATTAATATTTTTAAATATCTTCACCGATAATGATTAAATTTGAAAACATCCGTTACACAATTAAAAGTGAGATAGTTTAATCACGGATAAAAAATTCACGAATACCGACGAGATTATTAAAAAGCGAATAAGAAGAGAGAACGCTGAAATGGTAAAAAAATTGAAATAATTTTGATGAATGAAATGTTTGAATTTTGTTTTTACGTTACCTGTCGTTTCCCGTCTACAGTTAAAAAAAATAAACAAGCAATTCTATACGATTGCTTCGATCCAGCATCAAGATAATTATCCACGAGCGAAACTGGTGACAAATGTCGAAAATCGCGAGAGTGCATTCGCTAACGATAAAACCCGCACTTCTATGAGCGAAATCGGTTACCGAGTCAGTACCAGAACTTCAAACGAGTGAATATAACGTAAACTTGTCACCGCGCGATGGCTCTCTTGACGTCAAATAGTTTGCTTCACCCCCTCTAGCGTACAACAAAAAAGAAGGGATATTTGAGAAATGATAGTAAATAATAATAAACAATATAAATATATATTATTTACTATAATCTTAAAAATTATATAAAATAGAATTTTTAATTTATTATACTATAATAATGTAGAAAAAAATTTATTTTTTACCAAATTTTTTATAAAATTTATATAGAAAATATTACTTTTGAAAATCGATTTATAAGATTTTATACATCAATAAAAATATTGTTTTTATAAACATGAATATAAATATTTTCATATTGCAAATTTACTAAAATTGAATAAATGAAATCAAATATATTTGAATAAACGAAAATAAATGAAATTAAATAATTGAAATCATCAACATGTAATAAACATAGTGATCGATGATCATTGGCATAACGCGTAGACTTTCATATGATTTATAATCCAAATACATACTGTAATAAAAGTGCAGTTTATTCATCATATCGATCAATAAACATACGTAGAAAAATATTTTACACTTTTATATAGAAGTCATAGTTTTAAATATATTAAAATATAGATGTAAAACACGTGTAACTTATTTAGAATTTTAAAAATCTTGCTTTTAATATATGTATATAAATACTGATGCTAATAATGCATGCTAATAAAAAATTTTTATGCTTAAAAATAAAAAAAATTTCGCATGCTATCTTCACATATTTCTTTAGTAATCGAAATTTAACATTAATATTAATATTAAAAATTTTTGTTTAAATTTATAATTTCTCGAATTCTTAAAATGTAATATAATTTATAATATAAATTAGAATTAAAAGAAAAATAATAAAAATTATAGATTAATTATATAAAATTAACAATTATAGACTATTTTATTTTCATAACTAAAAAAAATTATATTTTTTCAAATTTTGAAATTTAATGTTTTTTAAATTCCAATATTTACAATTTTATAATATTACAATTTTTTAAAAATGATAAATTTACAACTTTTTTCAAAATTATCTCTTAAACGCATAAATTTTACAAAATATAGACAAGAAAAACTAAATAGGAATAGAAAAAAAAAGTAAAAATTAGAATATTAACACCATCTCATCAAAATATCACAAATGAAATTAAATCAAATAAGAAAAGAAAAGAAATAGAATAAGAATTGACTGTCAATGCTATCTCTTCAATATCAAAGATATTTCTTTAAAAATTATTTTTCTAAAAACACACAAAAGATGGCACAAACTCTCAATTTATATTCTATTTTATCTCTTTTGACTTTATCTACTGAGCAGATTTTATCTGCCTACCTTAGAGATATTCTTGACAATTATAAGATGGCACTAGTTAATTTTTATTTCTTATCATTTATTCTCTTTATTTGATTAATTTCATTTACGACATTCTAAAAATGGCGTTAATTCCTAAGTTTTGATTCTATCTCTGTCCTTTTTCTATTATTTGTTCTCCTTATCTATATTTATTCTATAAAATTTATATATTCAAAAAATAGTTTTGATATTTTAATATTTATAATTAACAATTGAAAGTTGGAGAGAAAAAATAATAAAAATTTAATTAAATATACAAACATCATTAATTAATGCTTTTAATTAAATTTATATATATATATATATATATATATATAAGTATTT